AAATTTATTAATTATTTATATTAAATAAAATATTGTATTAATTTGAGATAAAACAGATTTTTAATATATTTTTTTAATATAGATAAAATAACCTAGAATAATAACTATTTTTAGAAATAATTATATTGATTGTTGTAATAAATCCATTTATGTACGGTCAAGGTGGTATCCATCATTTATTTAGCTTTGTAACAAACCTAATTATTTTTAAAACCAATGCCTAAAGAAGCTATTTTTAGTTGGTTTTTCTACACGTACAAAAGACATTAGTTACTTACGACAATTATAACTTTTTTTCTTAACAAAATTAGATTAGTCTAGTTATGCTTTTTGTCAACTAGTTTAGAGATGTGTTTTCAACCCATCTGAGATAATGATATTATATATAACGAAGATCAAGATCCACCCGTACATAAAAAAAAAAAATGTAGATTGATTATGATGGTTATTGGTTTGGTGATTTGTACTATTAAACAAAGATAATGATAGAGGAGACTGGAGAGGGTTCTGGAACGTACCGATGTTGCCCTCGTATAAAGACAAAAATCTGACCTGTCTTTTCTTTTCCTCTTGCCAAGAAAAAAAATAGTGGACCCACTTTTTGGACGGTAACAAAAATCGATAAAAGTTTGACTAGCCCAATATAAAGCCCACTAGTTAAAACGGTAAAATCAAATAAAATAAAATAAACTTTTTTTGACTCTCCAACGAAAAATCACTTGTTATCAGAAATCAGAATCACCAATCGGACCGTTGGAGAAAAATGATAGCTTTATGAAAAGTCATATTCGTTTGGACTATAAAGTTATCAAAACAGTGTTGCATACTGCATACAGATGAAATATACTATATAATTACAAATGTAGTAAATAGTGATAGTAGGGACAATTATAAACTTACCTGTTACTTTTTTTGAAAACTTACTTTTGTTTTGTTTTTGTTTTTCACTTTTGCCCAGCTTTTTACCACATACGTTGCCTGAAGTTTTACAAGCCTCTCTCATTATAATCTGGACCGAATAAAAACATATTATAAAATTCAAATTACTAGTTGCACACTTAAATAAATAAAAGATTTGAATTTAGAACAGCTCAGAGATGAGATATTGCTTCTCTGTGATCACATGCATCGTTGCCACCAACACCAAATTTTATCCTCAAAATTTCCACTCTCAAAATTGAATATATATATATATATTTTTTTTTTTTGCTAAATTCAAAATTGAATATTACTATAATTATATATTGTTATTTATTTCCCACGTAGTTTACAGTATTATA